AAGCAGTGGTATCAACGCAGAGTACTTATACTTATTAAAATCGAAGATATTTTTTAGGTTATTTAAATAAGTGAGAATGTAAAAGATTACATATAGTGTAAATTTATAGTAATGAATTATAAATGATTGCATAAGATGTATAAAATTGATATTGTTAATATATGACCCAGATTGGGTAGTGACTTCTAGTGTAATCTGAAGAAGCTCTATGTAAGCATTAGAGATTGTACAAGCAAACTATAAAATTTGCAAATATAATTCAAATATATGGTTTACAAATGTTGTATTTATAATGGATAAATAAATTGCGGTTGTTAACATGTTTTAGTAGCCCGGTTCTTAGTATGATTTGTAAAAATGAGTTGGAAGGGAATTGTTTATGCTATATAAAAGTTCGGTAGTTAGGTTTGATTTCATTCTTGAATTATCTTATAACCAGTGTGGTGAAGGATAGAAGTAAGTCAATTCTTCTGTACACCACAACCAAAAGCACGTGCAGTCAGTGAAAGTGCAGGGAGATAGTTACACTTCGCAATGAGGTCTCAAATATTACCACGACCCTGACCAATTTCAACATGTCACCCTTGTCGTAAGCCCCTCTTCCACTTACTTTCCCATGGAAGCCGCCGAAGGGTACACTGTAATGGCTCCTTGTGGAAAGCATCACAGTTGTGCTAATCGTGTTATACTCGAAAGATAAAGATGATCCACTGGCCATGTTCTAAATTGCAATACTTAATATGTAAGCACAAAAATTGCCATTAAAGTAGACGCTATTTCTTAATTCTCTCTTGCCTAGGGGAGTAGTTAGAGTCCACAAGTTAGTGTAGATCATATAAATTAACTAATATTGAAAAAAACTATGTTATTAAAGAAATACAACAGTTGCCAAAGGCACAGGGAGAGCTCAAACTATTAAGTCATTGAAGACCGGCTTTCTTTCTCCTATTTTTAAAAATCATTAACTAATATCTTGCTACATATTCTACATATTCTACATACTCTAAATAAATTTACTATTATATATATGATTTCAAATACTTATATTATTACAGGTAAGTTTAATATCTTTTATTTATACAATTTACTTATAAAAATCATTCTTCCTTTTTCCTTTTTCTTTTTTCTTTTTGTCGTAGGTTTATAGTACTTGCCACATTGATTGCCATTATATGAAAAGAGGGCCATACCTCTTGTTCCAAAAAATAGGGAGACTTATGATGGGTAATAATAGTGGGGAGAGGGCAAGGAGGATACTCTTTCTGCGACTCCATAAGTCTCGTTTACCTTTCTAAAAATTTACTCATAAATTCATCAAACCCAATAAGGCTCGCCGTAAGCCTAGCAGCAGCCCTGCTAAAATGCAAACTCCTAATTATAATACACTGGGCAGAGGCCAGCCACAGTGTAGTTTTTATGTGGTCTCAAACTATAGCTTACGATTGTAGTGATTATTATAAACTAACTCAATTTCATAAGAGTAAGGTGAATAACATCTATACTTTAGATAATTTTGGTAATAATAATACCACGAAAAAATGTTCTACGCTTTGTATTATATGTAATTTGGTAGAACATCAACCTCATATAATAAGCACTTCAACTAAATTAAAAATTCATACATATTGTAATAATAATTTTTCTTGTACTAGTAAAAATCTAATTTATTGCATTACATGTAACGAATGTAATAGACAATACGTGGGAATGACTACGAGATTTTTAAAAACAAGAATAAAAGAACATATCTATCATATAAATAAAAATGATGTCCATAATTACTTTTACGATCATTTCCAAACTATATGCACGAAAAGAAGTATAAAAGTAAACATTTTAGACAACTTATGCGATGAAGACAAAAATATTCTTACTGACAAAGAATTATTTTGGATTAAATTATTGAATACAGCACATCCATATGGATTCAATGACAACATCAAAGGATATGGTAACATATCAGAAATAAATAACCCACTTACATACAAAAATAACCATCCCTATTACACCCTCAAAATAATAAAAGATAGAATACGCAGTAAATATAGACATAAAAACAAAAATACTGAAACAATAGAGAAGTTTTTAATGACAATTAATGAAATTAAAACTGAATCTGACATGTTTCATTACATACATTCACTAAAAAAGACATTCATAAAACAAATCATTACCTACTGTTTTGATAATAATTTTCTAAACAAAATAAATATCAAAACTAAAGTTATCATGCTTAGTATTCTATGTAATTTCCATTTCAAAAATAACAATACTAAAAAACATAATAATAATGATCAATATATCAATGTAACAGTAAAATATATTCACAATATATTAGACAAAGTTAATCTTAATAAAATAATCAACAATACATATATTCGTGAGATTCTAAATAATAGTCATACTAAGTACAAACCTTGCCGATTAGTTTACACCTATGATTCTTCAATTTCAAGATACCTATTCAATTACAACAATATTCTTAATAGACTTAATAATGAACAAATTTTGAATATTCTCAACAAACAATGTAATTGCAACGAATACAAGTACAAAGAATATGTTGATAAATACCATAAACATATAATAACAGGAAATTTGAGTTTAATAGAAGACAAACAACTAAGAACTTACATGTCTAAAGGAACAAAATACAGATTGGAAAATAAAATTGATAAGAAAGATATTTTAGAATGGATAGTTACTATCGGTCTGTAAGCGGTACGTAGGCCAACTCGATCGTGCAGGGAAACAGATTTTCATACGCTTGGGGCAGTTCTTATAATTTTTAAACGTTCTTCAAGCGGCACTTAGGGCATGAACTGTCTTCTAGATATAGATATTATTGGTTTGTAAGCAGCACGTAGGGCAACTCGATCGTGCAGGGAAACAGATTTTATACGCTTGGGGCAGTTCTTATAATTTTTAAACGTTCTTCAAGCGGCTCTTAGGGCATAAACTTTCATTTTAAATAGTTACTATCGGTCTGTAAGCAGCACGTAGGGCAAC